ATTGACTTTTGTGGCAAAAATTAAAAACAGCAAGAATTTAGAAAAAAAAAACACTCTTTCAAAATAAAACAAGTTTAAACCGTTACAGGATTGAATAGTGCTTGAATTTGGGGAAAATAGAGATCAAAAATAATAAATGATACGGTAAATTATTACTGGTGTCTGTTTACATTTGGAAACTGTTGAATTTGGGACGTCACATTAGGATTTGAGTACGGGTTCAAGTTGACAAATTACATAGCTTGGTAAGCAGCTAAAACCGGGATAATCCTGCAAGAGCAGCCAGAGAAAACTAGCTTAATCAAGATAACCGCTAACAGAGATGGGATGGATACTGAAAGAACTCCCAACATCTAAAACAACTCAAATTCAACGTACTCTCTGTGTAGCAGAGCCGATTCACTCCCAACTGAGATGACTGTCATCCACTGCTGGTAAGCTGCTAATCATTACTACTCCAAACAATGTCAAAATTAACCTAGTCTCCAACTGACGGACTTCAGGTGATTGAACTTACCTTTGGTGTAACCTCAGGAAACACGTCTATTATGCTGATGACACTCTGCTCTATCTCTGTACAAAACCCACTGCTGCTCTTCTTCATTCTTTGCAATTCAGACGGCTCAAGACCCAGTTTGCTGAAACATTTCTTCAACTCAGCTACAATAAAACTGACTTTTTCCATTTTGCAATAGAAAAAGTGTGTACATATGAATCTTTTATGAAAGGTCAAAAGAAAATTGTAATTGAAAAAAAAGTAAAATAAGTTATCTTGAAAACGTGTTGTTCTTTTCTGAAAACGATATCTGTGTTTGCAGGAAAATCATTCCTAGAAAACCAGTTTTTCTAAAGGATGCACAGAAAATTTTTCCAAAAACATTTTATTGAAATTTGGTGGATCCCATATATTGTAACTGGCCTGAAACAGGAAACACTGGCTGCATCCTAACTCAGCCAGCTCACATTTAGAGAACTGTGAAGACACACATGATAGTTTGAATGAAAACACGTGTGCAAATAAACACATGTGCAGTGACTATTTGAAAGAGGAGATCACATAGTCAGGTCAGACTGGCGGGGTGCCACGCAAAGCTTTAAAGACGTGGGATTGACTCAGCTTGAAATAACTCTGAGACTGTGTCTACCTTTTGAAAAAAAAAACAGCATAGCATCGTGTCTGCAGCATTCCATCCATCTATTTTCAGCCGCTTATCCGGGGTCGGGTCGCGGGGGCAGTAGCCTAAGCATCTGCAGCATTCATCATTTATAAAGTTTAGCTTTTTGTATGAGTATTCTTTTTTCTTTTATATTAAAGAATGCAAAATACTAAATGTCATTAAAAGATTTCAAGCTAAACCACAAGCCTTATAGATTAAAAGCTGTGTTGTTGGTTGTTGATCGTTTAAATTGAACATATTGTTTTTCTATTTGGTTTTGTTCCCTGTGACTCAGCATTACAACCTGTGCTGTGTCATTTAACACCGGTCTGAAAATCCTCTCCTTCCTCCACGTGTGCTCCATGCACACGGATAAGCTGCTGGCTTTGGCTAACTGCCAGCTAGCTCAACAGGCCTTCAGCAGGGCAGCAGTAGCTCAGGAGGTAGAGCGGGCTGTCCAGTAATCAGAAGGTTGCAGGTTCGAATCCGAATCCTGGCAGAGAATTCTGCTGTTGTGCCCTTGGTCCAGACACTTAACACACCCTGCCTGCTGGTGGTGGTCAGAGGGACCGGTGGCGCCTGCGCTCAGAAGCCTCGCCTCTGTCAGTGGGCCCCAGGGCAGCTGTGAATACATTGTAGCTCATTACCACCGGTGTGTGAATGTGTGTGTGTGTGAATGGATCAACAATACACTGTAGTGTAAAGCACCTTGGAGTCCTCTGAAAGGCCCTATTCAAGTCCAGGTCATTTATCATTCTTCTCTGCAGACAGAGCAGGAGTTGTAGACTTCTCTATATCCAAACTGCAAAAGAATCCCATATGGGGCTTTCTGTCAGTGCCGGTAGAGAAGGAAGGCTGTGATTTAACATTAAAGTGGTCCTTGAATTTAAAGCTACATTTACCTTATTGTTGAACATACTGTAAGCAGCTTGGGGGGTCTAGTGTAGCATACCAAAAGGTTTGTGCCGTCTGACCTATTTTTCTATATAAGTTAGTAATGCTTTAATGGCCATAGAGAATTAGTTTTTTCTGAGAAAAGCTAGTTTAACAGGTCATAAGCTTAGACACACACCCTTACATCTGGATGCTCCAACCCACTTCAACCTGTCTGTTGAAGTAAAGCTAACAGCAGAAAGCTAGCCCAAGCTACTGCCAATGCTAGCCTTAGATACTGCTAAACTCCATGTTGGACAAAAGCACAACTACAAAGAACAATGTTGGAGCACCACCCACATACCAGGGTGTGCTGGAAATATCTAGACCACGGGTATTTGGTCCTCGAGGGCCAGTCTCCAGCACGTTTTAATTTTAACCCTGTTTCAACACACCTGATTTCAATCAGCAGGTAATTAATAGGCTTCTGCAGAGACTGATGAGCCGCTGCATAGGTGATTCAACCACTGGATCACGTGTGTTGGAGACGAGAAACCACTAAAACATGCTGGATTCTGGTCCTCCAGGCCCAGAATTGAATACCCCGATCTAGAATATGAATGAATGCCACATAGATCCACACAAGCTCCCACACCACAACCCTTTTTCATTTTATAAACCTTTATTGCTGTCAGTTACATATATTTACATAGATTTCAGTAGTTAATTGCAGTGGAAATTAGAGGCAGCAGAAGCTATCTGTTGCCCATTGACTGCATCCTTGGGCCTTTCCGGTAGGAACGTAAACAGACTTTTTTTGGGGGATAATGATGTGATGTGAAATGGGTAAAAAATAGTTTGCATGAATAGCATTTTAATGGGCAGTTTTCCTCTTCATCCATTCTTGGACTAGTTTTTATGTCACATTGGTCAGAATTTTTTGTATTTCCTCAAACGTTGTTCAGCCAACTACAGAGCAGGTCTGAACCACCCCTTGGTAACCCCTGCTACGGTTCAACTCACTTTGGGCGCTACAAACCTTTTTCTCTTGTAATGAAAGCATGGAAACCTTCCTGCACTTTTACTCTTTAGTAAAACCACTATCCAGACAGTGTCAAAATATTATCCCAAAACCTTGTCTGATAAACCGACCGTCATGATCTAACACAAACATTTGGTGCAGCTCTTTGGGAATTTCCTCTCCAGTCCACTCAACATCAGTAATGACACCATTTATGTCTCTGAGCATATATTTAGTAACAGTAACTCTTTTGATTATACCACTCGGGACTGAAACCTTTCCCAAAAATTGCAGCAGCATGCATAAACACTGATTTCTCCCACACTCACCATCAAAAGAAAGACAGGGATCCCTGCCAACATGAGCAGGCTACATAGACTTTCTTACCAGGGTGTTCAGTCTTTGTCCTTTATGGCCACTATGCACCGTGTTTTAGTTGTTTCTCTGCTCCCTGGTCACTAAGCTCTGCAGAAACTAGTTAATCACCCACTGATTAAAATCTGGTGCTTTGGAGTCCAGGCTTATTCTGTTCTGATGCCTGTTGCTTTGCTACACCATTTATGGCAGGAGGTCAAATAAAATCATAATTTTAACATTTTTTTCCCTCAAGTCATATATAATTTGCTCTTTTTCTTGCTTTCTACATTCACTAAAAGCGTACAATTTTATGAGTAAATAAAAAATTTTGACTGCAAAATCTAAATATTTATTTAAGATGTGTGTGTTAACATTTGCTAAAGTGAGCCCACACTCAAATCTTCTGCTCTGGTTTCTATTATAAATAATACTTTGTGAGTCATTCTCTATAAACGAAAAAAGCTTTGGTGGTCCAGTTTCAGGAAATAGAGGTTAAGCAGAGGAGTGCAGGGCAGAAAATGGCAGGATTTGGAGTCTTACTCATTTGTCTCACTTCTGATTGGCTAACAGCAACATAACTCTTCCACTGCCTCTATTTGCTCTGCAACGTTCAAGTTTTATCTCCACATAAAATCTCAAGCCTGAAGGAGTTCTGTTGTGTTGTGGAGTTGCCAATGCTAACGGCTAGCTTGTACTGTTTTCTGGACGCTGAACCAACAATAGCCTTCCCTGTTCGCGAGCCATAATGGGTGAGTCCATAAATGCTAATTAACAGTGTGATGTAGATCTGTCAGGCTTTTTTCTGACCCAAGCATTTCCCCATCTATTTTCTTTCTGTCTATCCGATTGACTATCCGATTCAGAAAAAACAAGTATTAAGCATTTCTCAGTGAACTTCCTCTTTAACTACATGAAACCTATAGTTCGACTTTTTGGGAGTAACTTTCAGTTTTAGCATGATGAGCACATAGCTTCTGCAGGATTCACACTCTTAACAGCGAGTCTATGAGGACATCCTGGATTGACTGTAAAACAAACACTGTGACTCAAACAGGAAGGCAGCTGTGTAGGTTAAAGCCTCATTGTTCTTTAATTAAGGAGCTCCCCTGGAATAGTTCTGGTCCTCTGCTCTCCCATCAATGAAAGATTAAGGAGGTAAACAACACTGCTGCTCAGGATTGAAATCTCAACAGCAGCTGGATATTAGAAATTGGTCCTCAAGAATATGAAACCCTTTTTAAAACATGTTGATTTAACTCAAGCTGTCCTCTGTGTAAACCCAGCTACAGCTGTTAGCTAGCTAGCTACAAACTCTGTACAGCTATTTTCCTCAGATTACATCTACCAGGATGTAATCCTGTTATGTGTACTGTAATCCGCAACCTGCTGATCCCTGAAGGCCACAGTTATGGCAACCGTCTGTAGTGGAAAAGGGCTGCCAGCCAGCAATGTTCTGTGTTTTGATTAGCTGGGTTAGCGTAGCCATAAGGGTGTCTGTGTGTACAAAGCTAGGGGCAGGAATGTGTGAGTGTGTTTGGAGTTTTGGCTCGTATGTTTCCCTTCCAGGTTAATCAGCTGAGGCTAGAGAACATCTCTTTATGGGAGGATGACTGGTCACATGGTCGGAGGAAGAAGACTAGAAAACCAACAGGAATCAGTCGTATCAGCTTCTGTTAATGTGTTAAATGTTACTGCCCTACATAAACGAACCGATGCTTGGTTGACAATGACGACTCCATGAGACTTTCAACATCCATTAAGACGTTGCTACTTAATGGGCTAAGTGGTCAGAAGATAACTTTTTATTTTGGATTGAACTACAGCAACAATAAGTCTTAATCAAACATCATTGAGGCTCTCAGATTATCTTTAAAAGTTTTTCTTTGAACTTTATCAGTCAGTTTCAGGCCAGGAATTGACAGATTTTCAGAAGAATGTTGAACCGCTCCCCTTTGACCAATGAATCATTACGTCATGAAAAGACTCCCTAACACAAATGATGAACCAGTGTAGTATTAAGATAAATATCTGGGCCGAGAACCAGTCTTTAGGCACTTTCATTGTCAGAGTCACTAATAAAATCTCATTATTTAGACTTTTTCCTCATTTTCGGACTTAGAATTAAAACCAGTGTTGTGCCCGAACGCGTTCCTTGAACGATTGTTCGTGAATTTGTTCGTTTCTTTCGTGAACGTGAACTGAACTTAATCGTATTTTGCCTGATGAGCGTAAAAGTGAGTGCGTTTGTCCTGGCATGTGTGAACGGGTTTATGAACGCGTTCTTTCTCTGTTCTACCTCCAGATCTCCACGGAGCTTTTCCGGAGCTAATGCCTAGCTAAAACTTCCTGTTAACCATAGAGTTCATAAAAAGTAGAACCCGCAAATGCGGCCAAACATAGACAGTAGTTGTTGGTGCGGCGTCTACTCTTCTATTACTCTATGTTTATTATTCTATTTTTCTACTGTTCAATGTTTATTAAGTGCCTTGAGACGACTCTTGTCGTGATTTGGCGCTATAGAAATGAAACTTAATTGAATTGAATTGAAATTCTATGTCTATGCTGTGAGCAGGAGTCAAAGATCATTCAGAAAAATTGAAACAGGACTTAACTGAAAGATTATAAATTTCTTAATGTTTAGCACTTTTAATATTGCACTTTGAGTTTGCTACCTCAGCCTGCTTCCTAAGATCGTTTAATAATTTCCCATTAAAATTATTTCATAAGTAATATATATATATATATATATATATATATAGGAGAAAAAAGAACTTTTAAGTAGTTCGTTTTTGGAACAGTGAACTTAGTTCAAAATTTTTTTAATTATGAACTTTAAAATGAACTAGTTCATTTTAAAGTGTATGAACAGAACTTTGAACTAGTTCGTTTTTTTAACAAACTTTCCCAACACTGATTAAGACAGACTTGCAGAAGCCTTGATGCTTTACATCAGCTTTAGCCTTGTTATTTTATTTTACTACCTCCTCACGTGAGTTGTCTTTAGTGAGTGTGAAAACAATTTTGCTGTACACCTGTGCAATGTCAGTGAAACAATCTTGAATGCATACAGCAGCAGCAAAACGCTTAAGAGCTGCTTTGTCAACATGAGCACTGAGAAAAATAACAGAACTAATAAGTAAGTAATAAGGATGTGGGGAGGTTGTTGAATAAAATCCTGACATAATCTCAAACATATGGTCCGCCAGTCGTTCATCCTGTTTATCTTTGTAAGCAAGTGTCTCATATTTTGGGTTGCACACATCCTCAGACGGTTCTATATGGGACCTCAAGAACAATCGAGGGTCCACAGACCGTTCCACGCGCATCTAGCAGCACTTTTAGAGTTTACTGTATGTCCGACTGTTGGCCCATGGTCTGAAACGGGGTTCCTGCAGTTCACAAAACATGCAGTGAATATTCTACAGGTTCTTTAAAATGCTTTTTGAACATCTCAAAAGAAGGCTGAAGGGGAAATGATTAAAACAATCTGTCCAGAACATCCGTGTAAGGTCATCTGTGTCAGATTTTGGGTCAAAGAAGGGCGTTGAGCTATCGTTTGAGATAATTGCTGACTTGTTCAGTTCATCTGACTTTTCAAATGTTTTTCAAATTACATTTGATGTTTATTAAGATTTGAAATAATCAGTTTATAAGATGCATTAATGGTCTGGCCCTGGAAGCCAACACTCCACTAATAAAGCTGAAATAGTGTTAGTAATGTTGGACTGTGGAGGAGCCCAGCAGGCGACTGTGTTCATTCATTATTGAGTTGACTGAGTGGGCCTCCTGCAGTGCTGGGCTCTCTGCATTACAAGCACACAACACTTTAGGGACCATCAGTGGTAAAACCACAAGAAGACAGTGGTGGTGACGCAGCTTCATGGAAAGAAAGGACATTGTTCCCCCATAATGAGATTTGCTGTGGTAAACGTAGGAAAGGCCTTCACATCACCAGTGGAGATGAGCTACAGCCACAGACGGTTAGGGTTTAACCACTATAATACCCGTGTTTCATAAACTTACCTCGCTCTTTCTTTTCCTTTGAAAAGGAGTCAAACCTCCGCCGCAGAGACTTCCTTCGTTTGCGGATTTCTGTGAGGGGAAAAATGGTGAATGAATAAAACTGTTGGTTACATTAAAATTTTTACGTTTTATACAGGACAGCTGAGGTCACACACTGTATTCTGAGATGTCTGACTTTTATTTGCTGGTGATGTGTACTGGTGACATCAAACACTGGTAGAAGACAATTGACTGGAGTGTTGAACAATTGGACATGGACTTAATAGTCCCCGTCTTCTTCCTGCCACATACATCAGAAGGACCTTTTGTCTTCTTTCAATGGTTAAGATAACAGTAGAGGAACTTGTAGATTAGGAAAATGGTCGCTTTGAACAGCGTTTTCTGTCAGATGTCTGCATGTGGAAGACATAAAAGAGACCTTATGTATGTGTGTCTGTCTGAGGAAACAAGAGTAAGGAGTTTCAGTACTTTGGTCAATCTCTGATTGTTTTTAAATGAGCTATATCAATAAAGCTGATTGATTGATTCAAAGGTGGAAAATACCACTCCTGAAGCGCCACTATCCTGCATGTTTTTGATGTTTTCCAGTTTTAACACATCTGATTTAAAGGACGGTTTCATTAACAGGCTGCTACAGAACTTGTTAACTGAGTAATTCAGCCATTCGAATTGGGTTTGTTGGAAAAAATCAACATCTATGCGAGATAGTGGACATGGAAGGCTAACCGCCACTTTTGGTATATTTCCAGTCCTTTCGTGGTGATTGTTTACTTTTGATGTAGCCTGAAACAAACACTAACTTTTGACCTTCATAAACACCAATACACACCCAACCTTAATCAGAACAGAATTCACATTTTAGAAAGGCCCTTGGTTCCCATGTGGACTACTGGTCTCCATAAGGTGAGTAATCAAACCCCTGAGCACTGTTAACACTGCTTAATAACCAGAAGTGTGACCAAGTCATTGCTATGCAAAAATAAAATTGGATTTTTAATTTTCCTTTAGGAAAGAATCTTAACCATAACTTAAAGAGGAGCCTTAAATCTTTTCATGACTTTTTCTTAAAGTAAATCTGAATCCATTAGTTTTTCCGTTCTTCGGCCCCCTGTAGTAAACGTATGGCATCATGCCTGTAGCTACGTAGGACTTCCGTGAGTCTGCATCCAGCTTGGTTCACATCAGGTTTACTTTCATTTTTTTATGAGCTCCACATTCTCCCCTTGTAACTGAGATTATGTGGAGGAAGCTATTATTAGGGTTCGGACAGATGGTGTTTAGATAATGCTAAATTGGTGTTGGATCTTTGGCTTATTAAGGAAATATTGGCATTACCTACCGTGTCAATTGTGCTGTTCAAAATACTCGTGGCCTGAGAGCGTAACCTTTTCTTTTACTAATCTCAGGGAAAAATTCAACAACAACAACAAAAAATAGCAAGAAAAAAAGAAGATGATAGTGTTTGAGCTGTTGGGATAAAGAGGTCAAATTCTCATGACTACAGGAAATTAAAGTTTATTTCCAAAGTGCTCAGCTGCTCTCAACACACACACACACACACACACACACACACACACACACACACACACACACACACACACACACACACACACACACACACACTACCAGCTAAAGCTGAACTTCTACTGACGAGTGTGTGTACAAGTCTGCTGCACTTGCAAGGAGGAGTGCTAAGGTCTAAAAACAGAGGACCCGTGTTTCTTGCATAACAGTCACTGCTGCAATTTTCTGTCATTAGATGTTGTTGATTTTAGTTTAACTGCATCTGTGTGTTGTTCAAACTACACTTGTGAAAACAGTCTGAGATCAGTAATGTGAATCTAGCACGCTCCATCTGGTTTGGGGGGGTTGATGGTGTCCACTAGCTTGATTAACGTTAATTCTTTCAAGAAAACACAGCTATTTACAGATTTCCTCCTCTATGCTACCTATGTTTATGTTTATTCATTTAGCAGACGCTTTTATCCAAAGCGACTTACAATTTATAACCTATAGGGCGTGTTGTGATCTGTGGGGGAAACCGGAGTACCCGGAGGAAACCCACGCATGCATGGGGAGAACACGCAACTCCACGCAGAAAGGCCGCAGCCGAGTTTCGAACCTACAACCTTCGTGCTGCGAGGCAACAGTGCTAACCACTGCACCACCATGCAGCCCATAAGCCCATAACCTATAAGCTGAGGCTTGTACATACTGAAAAATTACTGAGGAATCTTGAAAATATGCTTATGTAAAAAAATAAAACGTAACTACTGTATAACTATCCAATCTTTTGATGCTCTGAACCTCAAATTCAACAAATAATTCCATGGTTATTGCTATTAAACTTTTGTTTATCTAAATTAGCTACCAACCAATCAGCATATTATATACTACTGCAGTTATAGTTCACATTTATTTGAAGTAAATGGATGCATTTAAATGAAAACCTACCCATGTTTGTGTAAGGTCTTCCTCAATCATTGTGCTGCCTATAATCCAGGCAGCATTTTTTATGTGTCAATTTTCAAAACATGAGAGCCCACACACAGATTTACCAGTTTTGCTCCTGCAGGGTGTGGTGTGCAGCAACTCAGCAAAAACTACTACACACACACCACATTCACTCAGACATTCCACAGTAAGACGGGAAATCTCGTGATATGAAACATGACTTTGGAGAAAAGTCGTGCATACCTCCATCCCCTCACTTTCTGATTGGCTGAACATCAAAATAGGCAGCACATTCGTTTGTTCTTGAAAATTGGACCAAGACAATGCTACACCTTTGAAAGCCTGGATCCGAGTGGTCCTGATTTTCTTCCAAGCTAACCAGAGCTGTTAATACACCACTTAAGGGAAGAATATTTGATGGTGTCAGAAAGGAGAATTGGGTCAGTGATCCAGCCTTGGAGGTAGAGGTGTTTACAACTCAGATTTAGAAATAATGAGAAGCTGAAGAATCTGCTTGACTGCTCCGGAGAAAAATAGAGCAGGTATGTCAGGAAAGAAAGGAACTGTGATCTCTGCCAGCTTGAGTGGAAAACTGGTTAACTGGTTAACCGTTAGGTGGAGTGATACAGAAGCAGTAGCAGCATGGGGAGTCGTGTGCCTGAATGAGTTCATTGAACAATTGTTCATCAACTCGTTCATATTTTTTGTGAACATGAACTGAACTCACTTGTGTTTTGCCTGATGAACGCTAAAGTGAACGCAGTCATTCTGGCGTTTGTGAACAGTATGAACTGGACATCTTGCCATTCGAGACCTCCACAGTTCCATAGAGCTGAAGTCGAGGCTAAAACTGCTAACCACAGACATTATATCACTCCACCTAATGGTTTGCAACTTGCCAGTTATCCAGTTTTCCACTCAGGAACTTGAGACAGTTATCCACACCTTCATCTCCTCACGCTTAGACTACTGCAACTCTCTTTTCACTTTTCAGAACCTCCCTGAACGTCTACAGGTGGTTCAGAATGCCTGTGCTCCGCTTCTGACCAAGTCCTCCAAACACACCCACATCACCCCGCTTTTGCTCCAGCTTAACTGGCTGCCAGTCAGTTGATGACATCATGGAGAAGCCTGGAAAATAATGTCTTCGGAGGCAAAGCACAAAGCTAACACCAGAGTAAACATCGGCGTGGCCTACACTCTGAGGAGCTGAGGAAGCTATATCAAGGACTGATGCTGACCTGGCTTTGTTGCCACTGGACTTGTAAGTAATCATATTTTTGTTCAACAATGTGGATGGTTTGACTTTGTGGCTTATTTTGGTATCATTTGGCTCAAGCTAGCGTTAGCTTGTTTTTAGCGCTTGCTAGTAGCAGGCAGCAACAGAATTGTTTAGAACAGAGCAGAGAAAGCAACAGGTGGGAGTGGAAGGAGAGAACAACACACACACACACACACACACACACACACACACACACACACACACACACACACACACACACACACTAGAGAGCTACACAAATGGAACAGTAGAAAAAAAACCCAGCCAAATACGTATTAGAGCAAATCTGATCCAAAACCACTGATGTGGCTCACAAACAATTCCCTGGCACAATTCAGGTAACACATTGAATGAATATTCACAACATTTGAAGTTAACCTAAACTGCAGAGAAGTCATACCAGAGATTATTCCAGGAGACATTTGACAAAATATTAGGGCAAAGATAAAGAATTTCATGGAGACACAATGAGAAAACCTGAGAAGGGAAAACAGAAATCTAGCTGTGAGAAAGCAACAGAGAAGACAAACAAGGTGGGAGGTAAAGCTCAAACTGTAGACCTAGAGGAAATTTCACCGCAGGGCAGACAAAAAAAGTTGAAATACTGACACACAGCCAAGGGAGAGCTTTGTCTTTAAGCAAGGGAGACAAAACGGGCTGTTTTTCAGCTGATATCTGACATCCGTGGGTGTTCTGTCACCATGACCTTTCCTGTGTTATATGCATGGTTTTATAAAGTGATCAACCCTTCAGAGGTTTAAATGTAAAGAACAAAAAAATTCACATTTGATGACAGAAAAGGATGTGTGTGAATACAGAAGGTTTCCAGAAAGTAAGGAGAGGAGGGAGTCTCAGAGGAAGTTTCATACGAGAGAAACACACAGATCCTCTGTTGTCACTTACTGTAACGGGAGATTAGATTTATTCCCTGGAGACAAAACCTTCAAACAAACCCTTAACCCTCAATCTCTTGGGGTATATATGTAAGAATTGTCTGGTTTTAGCTAATGTATCTGAAATTAAAACCATTAAAACAAACTGAACAACTTCCATTAAAACAATATGTGGGTAAAAACATAAAAATAAAAAAGTGCAATTTTTTCAAGAACAAAAATAATTTAACACTTGTGTTAAATGGTTTATGGTTCAGTTTTTATTTTCATTTGGTTTGATTTCATAATGTATTTGAACATAGCTGGCCTGACAGTCGTGAACTTTGGCCATCCCAATAGATGTGCTGCATAATTAAACTGTACACTGATCAATGTTTTAATGTCATTTTTGATAATAAAAACAAACGCTGAAATTTTTACTAGCAGACAAACTTTTTAAG